GAAAAGACCGAAACACAACCGAGAAAGAAACTTCATGTGCAGAAGTTTCTTCTCTCAATTTGACGAGATTACAAAAGAATAATTCATTTTAGATTGCTACCAACAAATGCATCAATCAATGCTCAAATCTACTGTCAGCGATTAGGACGTTTGAACGCGACTTTGAAGACAAAAAAAAAAGACCTGTTGTACTGAATCCAAAAGAAGTGGTGTTTCATTACGACCCCACACTGCAAAAATCACATCCCAGATGATTGAAGAACTTGGGAAAGAATTCCTCATCCACCTGATTCCACCGACCTTGCTTCTTCAGACAACCATTTATTCTGTAGTTTACAGAACCATTTGTAAGGATTAACTTTCAAAATCTGACATTTTACAGTTCTTCTTTTCGAAACCGAACGAGTTCTTTATTAATGAGAGTAAAAAGTTTGTAAGCAGACGGAAAGGAAGTCTTAGATAATCATGGAAACTACATTGACGAATAAATTTCAATAAAATATAAGATTTGATCACCCGTTCTTTATTATTCAAAATCCGGACAGAACTTATGGGATGACCTTACACACACACACACACACACACACACACACACACACACACACACACACACACACACACACACACACACACACACACACATATATATATATATATATATATATATATATATATATATATATATAAAACATATAAAACAAACACACACACACATATATACATATTTGATCACTCGTTCTTCATTATTCAAAATTTGGACAGAATTTATGGATGACCTCACACACACACACACACAAACACAAATACACACACAGCAATAATATCCCACACCCCCGCAAAAGAATTTACTAAACAAAAGATCAGAGTTAATCTCCAAATGTAGGCATGGGAATAAATACATATTATTTGAATTTATACCAAACGGATAAAAAAAAACAAACGCCAACAGTCACTCTTTAGTTCAAGCTACCATCACAATAATTACATTTATTGTTATTATCATTGCACCACCATTAGTAATCACTTCTACCACTTTACAATAACTGTTAGTTACTAATATTATCATTACCACCAACACCCAACACCGTTAATACCACATCACATCTACTATTAACATATAAATCCACTATAATTATTAACGTAAATTACTCCCCGAGCATATTTAATACCACCAAATAAAAACCAATAAGATCAGAGATAATTTCCAAATGTAGACATGAGAATAAATACCCATTATCAGGATTTATATCAAGATAAATAATTAAATAAATAAATGAAATAAAATAAAATAAAACACCAACAATCACTTTTTAGTTCAAGCTCCCACCACAATAATTATATTTATTGTTTTTATCATTCTCCCACCACCATTACTAATCACTTCTACCAATTTACAATAACTATTAACTATTTATATTATCATTGCCACCAATCCCCCAACAACATTACTATCACATCACATCTACTATTATCATATAAACCCGCTAGAATTATTAACATAAACTAACCCCCTCCCCCAGCATATTTAATACCACCATAGAAATAACCAATAAGGATTACAAACTGCAATTTCTACCAGTTACATATAGTCATCAAAAACAAGCAAATAACCAGCTTTAGAATAATAACAAATAAACTTTAAAAAATTAAAAATAATAGCAATTTTTACCTATCATAATTTGACACAGACCCCACCACACATATATACGTGCATGCAAGGAAATATTATTCAGCTAAAAAATAGAAAAATGCTGTGATTGTTGACATGTATACATTCACGAGAAATTTTCGCTACACTTCCGATCTTTGAATTTCAACATAGAAATGCGTATGTATATAGACAACAGCACACATATACATACATATGTCAAGTCCCATACTGTCCAAATATGTTTATGTCTGTATGAGCCCCGGCGGACACGCGAGTGTATATGTGTGTCTGCGTACCTCAACGGGTGTAGAGAGATGCATCTATGTTTGTGTTAACATGAGTGACATCACGACGACGATTCCCCCCCGCCACTTCCACAATAACATCAATACACGCAATCTACATAAACATAAAATTATTAAAAAATTAATCAGTTTGTCTGACGATCGCAAAAGCGTGAAACCCAGGGTCACAAACTCACATCAATCCAACCAAATATGTTAGCTGCTTTCTAATAAGTACCACGCATATAATATATAAATAATTATATATATACATATATATATATATATATATATATACATACATATATATATATATATATATATATATACACATTGTTCACACACACACACACACGCACACACACACACACACACACACACACACACACATATATATATATATATCGTATTGTAAGAGTTTTTAGGTGCCAAAATTGCTCGTTCTTTTTCCATAGTTTACTCGTAGAAAGAAATGTTAGGCAGGCCTTTTTTTGTCCTAAAGATTTTCCCAAGCCGCATTAAGCGCGAAGATATTAAGTCGGACACTTTTTGAAAGTACCTCGTATATAATCACGCAAAGAGATCGAATGTTGACGCATAACTAGTGGTTTACTGATTCAACGATTACCCAACTTCTTGATAATCCAGTAAATGTCAACATCTTTTTTTTCTTACGGCTGTTTTAATATTCTAAGTGTTGCTTATTCGTCTTCCCTCCTTGAAGATGCTAGAATTTGTTTTTTTTTATTTCCAGACGTCAATTGTCCCGTCACTTTATATATATATATTGATAATATTAGTGGTCAGCACACACACACACACACACACACACACACACACACACACACACACACACACACACACACACACACAAACACACACACACACACATATATATATATATATATATACACATATAAAAAATTTCCAAGAGGATAGAATCCAGGTGGAACTCAATGTCCCAGAGTAAGAATATAAAAGGCTCAAACACTAATATTCCATGGTTATAATTTATAAGTCTGATGAATTGGATCGTGATTACGATTCCAATGTAATAAATCTAACCATGGGATATTAGTGTTTGAGCTTATATATATATATATATATATATATATATATATATATATATATATATATAAAAAGAAAGAACAGTAAGATATATAATCCGGTGTTCTTATTGATATTTTAATTTTTACAAAACAGTACTCAATGTAAATTTACAGTGCATTAATATTATAAATTAACTGATTTAAAATATGGTCTTTCCGCTACACAGTAATAACCATGTTTCAAAAATCGAAGCTAAAAGCTTCGAATTTAATTTTGTAATTAAATTAAAATAATGTTTTTAATTTAATTACAAAATTAAATTCGAAGCTTTTAGCTTTCACTTTTGATACATGGTTATTACCGTGTAGCGAGAAAAAAATCATATTTTAAATCAGTTAATTTATAATATTTGTACGGATATGAGTTTGTGATCCTGGGTTCCACGCTTTTGCGATCATCAGACAAAATGATTTATTTTTTTAAAATTGGATCTATTTATGTTTGTTTGACTATATTTGGTGGCAGGAGGGGGGATTTCCTTCCGTACTTGCTCGGGATGACACTTTTATACACACAGACATACTTATATACAGGTTTACGCACTTTAGTTCACACAAACGCGCCCATATAAACAATCCGAGGCTAGGCGCAGATATACTTCTATGTGTTTGGGAATACATACACACGCAATTTTAATTCTATTTCGGTGTCGTGGCCTTGGCTTTTTATGTGTAGCGATGTTTCTTTCAACAAGAAACGGATAGGTGTGTTCTTGATGATTTTCAAATCTACTGCCTGCGTCGTCAGACAATCTTACACTTCCTCTCACACACATAAACACATATAGACGCGCATATACACTCCGATTGGTCTGGGTTCTCGGTTCTGTTTGTGGTCATGGTGATGATGATGTTTGTATTTTTTTACGCTGACTGCTTGTATGTTGTTGACGATTGTGATTATGCTGATATTGACAATAACTGTGATATTAATTATTATTATTATTATTATTATTATGTTACTAGTAGCTATTGATGCGTTAACGGTAAATTTAGCCTTAATGATGATGGAAACTGAAGTATAATAAGAAAAGGGGGAGGCAGTAATGACAAACTTAATTACGATAATAGTTGTGGTAACCATGATAATGATGATGATAATAATATTGATGATGATAATAATATTGATGATGATAATCATAATACTAGCAATAATAACAACAATGTTAAAAAAGCAGTACTAATGGTAGTGGAGATGTTTATGAGGTGACTGCAGTACTATCAGAGTGATTGCAGTACTAATAGTGTAAATGATAGTACTGCCAATTCGCTCGCACAAATTTACGTCAAACGAATTTCTTTATCCAACGAGTTAAGTAAAATCGTTTTTGGTTTGAACCAAAAAACAACCCCCCCAAAAAAAAACAAACAAAAACCCCCAAAAACAAAACAAAACAACAAAACAACAACAAAAAACAACAAGAAACAAATTTTTTGTTTTTTGTTTTTTTGTCGTTGATTTTTTTTATTCCCCGAAAATCCTTTGATAAATACGCGACTTTGCAAGAGGTCAGAGTCAGTCAAATTAAAACTGCCAAGCCGCCCGAACAAATTTACGCCAAACGACATTCTTTATCCAACGTGTTAAGTAAAACGGCTACAGATCAAAAGACTTACCAACAAATGAAATTACACAGTTTTTTTCTCTAAGTCTGTATAATTGTAAACTGAGAATGTATAGATTTTCGAAAATGTATCAACTTTCACCATATCAGATGCATGACCATTTCTACGAACATTTTAGATAATGAGACTGTTTACTATGTAAAGATACACTGGCCACACCTTGGGCCACACCTTTATAAAGGAAACTTGTAAGAAATGTAACGAAATTAGTGTTTTGAAATGAAAACAATCACTGAAATTTTATTCACAATATTAATTGTAACTATGAATAATTAACAACGACGCTGTAAACTTATCAATATACTTTAATTTCCACAGTTTTGCCGTAACATGCACATCTATCGAAGAAACGACTGCATAGCCTCGAGTAGCAATCGAAAAGGAAAGTAACACTGCTTATATATATATATATATATATGTTATTTTTAATTTATTTTGTTTAAACACTATTTTTGATTGATACTCATATTCGAGTAGAAGCTCTGTTTTTCTTTTAATTAAACAGTATTTTTATCCAACTATATCTACCAGCTTGAATATTTGAGAAATCTTGTCAGAAAAATATGCGTCCTCCGGCAGGATTCGAACCTGTATCCCCTATGGGGAACCGTCATTGGACTTCAGGTGAAATAAAGTCACTATTCAGGCTTTTCGTGTGACGCGTTTCGTCCTTCACACGAAAAACCTGAATAGTGACTTTAACATCATGGGATTGAAGTTTATTACCTTGGTGCGACTGCACATGCGAACGAACGAGGGATGCTGGGAAATTTTAAATTAATTTTTCTGTTGCCTGTATAATCTAGCCGATTTTATTTAGATTCTTTTCTGCTTGATTCATTCACTTTTCTTCTTCTTCTTCTTCTTCTTCTTCTTATTATTATTATTATTATTATTATTATTAGATATCCCACACTGTGATAATAGAATATCTCTGCTAGGAATGGGGAAAATCGATTAGATAATATATATTCTCTCTCCAAAAAATGTAACTTTAAAATTCCCATCATACCTTGTTATTGCGCATGTGCAGCCGCAAAATTTAGTCCGATGAAGTTCGAAAGAACGAAACGAAAGTAAAGTGTAACTTTATTCAATAAAATCGCCATTGTCTTCAGATCGGCCTCCAGACGACTTCGGAATCTCCTGCAACTATTCTGGACGTTCTCCTTGTTTAAGTT